AAGGCCTGGGTCATCATGGGGTCTTGGACTTCTCAGTTCAGGGTCCCAGCATCTGGCCCAACTCTGGGTAGCCCTGGTGCTGGTGAGGAGGGGAGGCTTACTTCTTGGTGCATGCTCATTCAGGGCGTGCTTGAGGAGGCTGGGTGCAAAATGGCGGCAAACACAGGTGAGCAGGTCAGAGAAGGAAAGGAGCCCTGTGAGCACAGCAGAGGGACACAGAGACAGAAGGGAGGACAGGGCCTGTGGTTCTTCCAGAGGGAAGGCATCCTCCTCCTACAGAAGGGCATTGTCAGGGACAGCTCAGGCTCCTGGGGATTGAAGGGGCCCAGGAAAGGTGACAGCGGTTACCACTGACCTTGTGTTGGCAGACCTTTCTGGGGAGATGCTGCACAGTGGGTTCCCTTCTAGCCACAGCTCTTCCAGCTTCAGTGGTCTTTCATCTTGGCCAACTCACAAGGTGACTTCAGTTGAGAAAGATGAGGGGGAAACTGGAGAGGGAGTCCCAGGAAAAGAGAGACATCTGGGACCCTGGACCCCTCAGTCCCCTTCTTCACTCACAGGTTACCTCTGCCTGCCAGTTGCCATCATCCCGGTACACACTACCCCCCACCCCGCACCCAAATTTGATCTGGCTCCCTCCTCTCACCTCAGTTTTGGAGAGTTCAGGATCTTGACATTGGGGGCCTTCTCTATAATGTCAGCCAGGACATCCAGCCAGGACAGTTTGTTGTTGCACAAGTTCAAGGAATATAACTTTGGGGGAAGAGGGGTTATGACAAGGATTTTCATTCAGTCTGCTGCAGCACATAGGTGAGCCACAAACATTTTTAAGGATCATTAATTAGATTATTTTGTACGCAGTTCAAAGTATTGTAAATATATTATTTTTTAACTCTTTTTTATCAGCATAATTTAAGTGTACTGGGGAAGTTGAGCTATAGGTTCAAGTGTGTCCTGTGAGATAAAGTTTGAAAAACACTTCTCTAGGGCCTCAGAGACAAGCCTGCCCTCTATACTATCTCTTCCAGGTCGCTACCTGAGGCTTCACCTCAGGGAAATTTCTCCTAATGATCTGCAGGGTAGCAGCCAGGCAGTTTCTTCGATTGAGAATTATGTCTATATCATGGCCCACCAAGTCTTCAGGAAAGGGAATCTAAAGGCCAAGAGGGGTTCTCCTGGACCAGCGACAGCACTGACCCCCTCCTCAAGTTGTCATCCCTGAGTATTCCTCCCAGGAAGAACCCTTTTGCCCTCACTTACCCTAGAATCGTTGCTGACAGACATACCTGGGTCAAGTAGAGCTTCTGGAGGTCAAGAGCTTGCTGGCAGACATCATACCATTTGTTCATGATCAGCTGCAGGGATGGGTGGAGAGTGGCTCTGAGGTTGTACTGGTCGTTGTGACAGGGAAATTGGGGCCTGGGGCAAGAGGTGAGGCTGCTTTACCTTTAACTCTTTTGAGTCTGCCTTACCTTTAGCTCCTCCATTTATTCTGGCTGCAACTTGTTCTGTACAGCGTAGGGTACAGCAGAAGGACTGACTGACAAAGGTAGATTTCTTCAGGAAGGAGAGGCAGAGCAAGCTCAAGGACTTCAAACCACACAGAAGACGACCAGCCCCTGGCCTGTCCTCCTGCCCAGAGACTAGGTACAATG